ATGTTCTCAGTCCTATGAAGTAGATGTTCTCAGTCCTATGAAGTAGATGTTCTCAGTCCTATGAAGTAGATGTTATCAGTCCTATGAAGTAGATGTTCTCAGTCCTATGAAGTAGATGTTCTCAGTCCTATGAAGTAGATGTTCTCAGTATGATGCAAGTCTTCGAAATTTCGCCCCCCCCCCCCCTCTTAAAGCGACTGCATCTCATAATGAACATCTCTGATATTTGTGTTACCCTATTTTCACTCACGTGGTTTCTCTCCGGAGTTCCCTTTCTATGCCCACTCCGCTGTTATGCCCCTGCCCTTTTTGTTGGATCTTATCTATTTTTTCCTATTCAACTATTCACCTTCATATTGCCATCCCCCACATGTAGTTTTTCAGAGGAGGAGGAGAGCAGAAGAAGAAAAAGAAGAAGAAGAAGAAGAAGAAGAAGAAGAAGAAGAAGAAGAAGAAGAAGAAGAAGAAGAAGAAGAAGAAGAAGAAGAAGAAGAAGAAGAAGAAGAAGAAGAAGAAGAAGAAGAAGAGGAAAAAGAAAAAAAGAAAAAGAAGATGAAGAAGAAGAAGAAGAAAAAGAAGCAGAAGAAAAGAGGAGGAAGAGGACGACGACGACCTAGACGAGTATGATGATATCACCACGTACATAATGACAATTAAAAAGAAAAAATGTTATTTGAGAATTTGACCACTGAATAAACTGGTTTGACATAGAGCCGACATCAACCAGTCAGCGAAGCGTTCGACAAATACCAAGCCAGGATCCACGCGTGGGAGAGGTCAATAATTAAACGAATTTCTGAGATGACGCGACTGAAATCAGGACATCACACGTCATTTCTACGTCTTCTCATTTCTGACGTTGTTACCGATTAAATTATGGGTTAAGTTGCGTTAGGTTAAGAAATGTCACCAAAGCACTTGGAACATTTCCCATAAGCAACCCGTCCTTATCTTCAGCTTGGAGCTTTCATTCCGACGGTATAATTATACGTCAGGTCTTACTTTTCTATAAGAGTTGAGTATAGGCCAGATTGTTCTCTTTTCACCCTCGATTTATACATGTGCACGTGTGAAACGTCGCCCCAAGACAGCAGGTGACATCTGGTACAACTGAAAACGTCATAAGAAGTAAGCGAAGGTCCCCGCCATATCCTTGAAGCGTACTGGTTTCTTATATTTACAATGCGTTTACAAATTCGTGCCCTTGTATTTTCAATATTTTCTCGGTAATTACTTATCCCGCGAACGTGACGTTTTTCAAAGGCTCCTATTTTAATCTCGACGATAACGTTTAATGCATAAATAATATTTAGATTTCCCAGTTGTATCGAAACATACGTTTTCTTTGTTATATTCATAAGGTGTTTTGTTTTTTAAGTTGGTAATAAACAAATGTTACTCCCACGATGTAATTTGTGAGTATAATAGAACTGAGAGGCGTTTCCGGAATTTTTACCACGAGGGCTTAAGTCCGTTATTTTCCCCTTCAAATGTATATTAATGATTAGCATACGGCAAAAACCACGTGAATATGGAAAGCAAAGGGGCATTATATATTCCTAGAAACTCAACATGGAAGCCGAAAAAGTGGAGTCAGGAGACTTGCATTAGCAATGCAGATATTCAACAGCAAGAAGAACCTTTGACAAAGCACCTGTAAATTAGTTAAAGTAACAATCTTGAGATCAAGCAACTGTGGCAACTTGAAGCTGTGAGTCCTGGAATCTCACTCAATAATTGAAGAAGAAAACTGGGGCATTTGAATTAAAATGTTACAGAAAAATTCTCACAATACATTGGATCAATAAGAGGAAGAACGTCGACATCCTACACGAGTTAAAAATCAAGCATCCTGTCTCGAAAGTTGAAGTATTTTGGGCACAGCAAACGTCATGGTGGCCTGGAAAAAGACGGCGATGGAGGATGCGGTTTGTGAAAAGCGAGGCAGGGGTCGACCTCCGCGAAAATGGATACAGGACATTGAAGATGCGTTGGCACTGAAAGCACACGGAGAGCTTGCTAGGGAAAGGGATACTTTCAGGAATGCCGTAAAGAGAGCGACGTTCTGTAAAGGACTTACTGATTGATGATGATACGGCATAAGTTACGCCCTTAAACCTTGTGACGTAACTGGATAAAAGACGAATCACACTCATTTTATAGCGCGCTGCGACACCTCCTTTGCCACAGTTGTGCCTTTATTAGAATTTCTGTAAAAACACAAAAAAAAAAGATGCTTTTTTTATGAAAGATCGATTCATAAAATTTGAACTTTGAAAAAAAAATTTATAATAACTTGTCTTGAGGGCCAAAATAATATGAGATAACGTTGAGAATGAGTAAAAAAAAAAAAAAATAAATAAATAAACTCATCAATTTATATTCTGCCACAGCTGAGACAGATTTTGTTGACTATTGGCACAACCGCCCTGTGTCCTTTCACAGGAAGTGGCAGAACCAACCCAGCATTTTTTGGCGGCTGTGGTTTTTCAAAGGAAACTTACGTTCAATAGTCTGCATTGCACCCTGTACGTTCGGCTCTTGATACCAGTGTCGAAATCAACGCAATGCAGTCTGCTGCTACATCGCCTGCAGCTGGGATTGAACCCAGCACCCCAGCATTACAAAGTCTCTTTCGCAGCATCTAAGCCACAGACACTTGGTAGATAGGACTAGGCTTATAGTTATAGACCCAACGGAACTCAGTGGGTGATGTGGTCAACATCACACCGGTCACCTTTACTTCCCAGGACT